GGTGTCCACTGCTGCACCCACAGGTGGTGGACTTAAGGACATGGAGTTGTTGGAGCAAGTCCAGAGGAGGACACGAAGTGGCTAAGAGGACTGGAGCATCTCCCCTGTGAGGACAGGCTGAGGGAGCTGGGGCTGTTGAGCCTGGAGAAGAGAAGGTTGTGTGGAGACCTCAGAGCACCTTCCAGGAGCTGAAGGGGCTCCAGGGAAGCTGCAGAGGGATCTGTGTTAGGAGCTGCAGGGACAGGACAAGGGGCAATGGGCACAAGAATTTACAGGAATCAATGCCATCATCCTTTTTCCTTCAAAACATAGAATCATAGACTGGTTTGGGTTGGACCTTACCTTAAAGATCACCCAGTTCCAACCCCTGCCATGGGCAGGGATGCCACTCACTAGATCAGATTGCTCAGAGCCCCATTCCCCTTCTCACTAGCATCTGAAACCAGGATCCTCTAAATTGGACCTTTCTGCTGATATGAATCAAATTATCTGCACAGATACATAAATGCTTCCCTTGTGTTTGCTTTATTTAGCATCCTGAAACTCAGGCACTCCCTTGTCACACAGGGGCAGGGAGGGGAGGGTTGTTTGGTCACCCAGACAGACAGTGGAGCTGTCTGTGCAAGCAGGACAAACGTGCCAAAGGTGGGCAGGGGCGGGCAGGACCCGAAGTGCCTGGGGCTGCTCTGTTAACCAGCTGCAGTGCCCATCCTGGGAATGCTCCTGGGCTGGACAGGACCTTCCTGAGGTGCTACCCTGGGACTCTTACCTGGTAAGGAGCCTGTGGTTACAGAGTCCAAAGCTCAGGCTGATTTCTCAGTGATGGTTTCTTTGCTGTGCTGGGAGTGGGAGAGACCTCTTGCAACTGTAAGAGACAGAAGCCTTTACACCTTAGCCCTGTGCTGCTTATCAGAATGGTGCTGAGCTTGGGCTCAGGGAGTGTGTCTGCATGGAAATTCCTGTGCAAACAGCCTCTTTTGGTGGGATTCTAAATGAATTTAAGCTCCATAGCCAAAGTGAGAATGGCAGAGGGTGGTGCTGTGCCTGGCAGGGAGGGAAGGAGCCACAGGTAGAGGTGGAGGTGCAGGTGGAGTTGGTACATGGCTCAGGTGAGTTTGGGGATGGTGCTGTGGAGCAGGAGCTCTGCTGCACTCAGAGGATGCAGCCCTTACTGGGGAAGGGAGGAATGGAGAAAGACTCCAGGGGCTGTGGTGACCCCAGGGGACTGAGGAAGAGGAGGATGAGGTGTCAGCACAGACAGGCAAGTGGAGGAGGGATAGGAACTGGTGATTTGGCTTAGGGAGATGGAAAGAGACAAGGAAAACCCATTGCCTTGAAGCCCACTAAGAAAGCAGGTGAAGAAGGAAGGGAGGCCTGGAAAGGGACGAAGTTAGGAGCTGCAGAGACAGAACAAGGAGCAATGAGTTCAAATTGAAAGAAGGAAATTTAGGTTAGATACCAGGAAGAAGTTTTCCCTGTGAGGGTGGTGAGACACTGGCCCAGGTTGCCCAGGGAGGCTGTGGCTGCCCCAACCCTGGCAGTGTTCACAGCCAGGTTGGATGAGCCTTGAGCAACCTGCTCTGCTGGGAGGTGTCCCTGCCCAGGGCAGGGCTTGGGGCTGGATGATCTCTAAGCTCCATTCCAAACCCTACAATTCTATGATTCTGTGAGATGGGGAAGTAAATTGGCTGAGATGATTATGAAGCAAGGAAAGGATTAAGGTGCCTCCTGAGAGCTTGGGGAAGCTAGAACTGAGCTGTAGTAGCCTTGGGAGACTGTGATCATAACAAGAAAAAACCAACCCAAAACATGTTAAGCAGATAATGCTGAAGGATGAACCAGAGATGAGATGACATGATTGAAGTCTTGAAGCACTGCAGTTCTGAAGTGTCCACAGAGACACTTTACTTGTACAGGCAGGGGTGAGGTGCTGCTGCCTTTGGTGGGGTCTGGTTTTGGGGAGGGCTTTGCTTCAGAAAGAAGTGGCAGCTCCTGGTAGAGCTGTGCCCCCACTTTGTGAGGGGGTGGCAGTATCCCAGCACTGGGGACTCCCCAGGGACCTGTGTTGCCCTCTCTCTTTGAATGCAGCAGCTTGAGCAAGGCATCCACTTCAAAAATACCTGCAGCATCTTTCTCTGATGGTTTTTCTTTCCAGACCACAAACAGCCAGGAGGGACCCAACACTGTGCTGGCAATGGCCTTTCAACAGCCAGTTACAACGCAACCCCAGTTTTCAGCTTACCCACAGCGAGGAGAGTGGGAGACTGGGCTGATGGACTGCTGCAATGACTGCGGCGTGTGTGAGTACATATGCACCACTCACTCTTGCTCTTGCCTCTTGATGTGCTTCTGGTGTTTGCTCTGCTCCTTCTGCAGCATTGCCCTGCTGCACACCCCACTTGTCAGAGAATCACAGAATCTTAGGGGTTGGAATGGACGTCAGAGACCATCCAGCCCCAACACCTGCCCTGGGCCACCTCCCACCCCACCAGAGCAGGTTGCTCAAGGCTCAGCCAACCTGGCTGTGAACACTGCCAGGGTTGGGGCAGCCACAGCCTCCCTGGGCAACCTGGGACAGGGTCTCACCACCCTCACAGGGAAAACAACTGCCTAACATCTAACCTCAACTTCCCTCCTTCAATTTGTGCCCATTGCCCCTTGTCCTGTCCCTGCAGCTCCTAACACAGATCACTCTGCAGCTTCCCTGGAGCCCCTTCAGCTCCTGGAAGGTGCTCTGAGGTCTCCACACAACCTTCTCTTCTCCAGGCTCAACAGCCCCAACTCCCTCAGCCTGTCCTCACAGGGGAGATGCTCCAGTGCTCTTAGCAACTTGGTGGCCTTGCACTGGACTTGCTCTAATGTTTCCATGTCCTTCTCATGTTGAGGACACCAGAACTGTGTGCAGTATTCCAGATGGGTCTCACCAGGGCAGAGCAGAGAGGGAGAATTACCTCTCCTGACCTTCCTTGACACTGCAGCTCCTAACACAGTCCCTTAGCAGCCTCCTTGGAACCCCTTCAGATCCTGAAGATACTTGTGCGTAGCAGTGACCAAACTGCTCTTGCCTGAGGTCAAGAATCACAGCCCTCTTGGCTGCATTCCTGGTTGGCTTTTCCCCTTTCCTCAGCCAAGCCCATGTCTCACTGTCTCACAGGTCTTTGTGGATCCTTCTGCTTCATCTGCCTGGGGTGCCAAGTGGCTGCAGACATGAACGAGTGCTGCCTGTGTGGGACCAGCGTGGCCATGAGGACCCTGTACCGCACCAAATACAACATCCCAGTCAGTGACCAGTCCCACCAGTGGCAACAGCCACATGCTGGGTGCTGGGGTGGGGGCTGAGGGAAGGAGAAAGGGGTGCTCGAGGGGAAGGGCAGAGCTGGGGAGCAGCATGGGCAGGGTCACATCTGCATCCCCTCTGTGAGCTGGAGATGATCTCATGGCACACCAGTTCATCTCAGTCCTTGCTGGGTTCATATTGGGTGCTGCAGGGCTGGGTGAGCTGTCCAGGGGTGCTGATGGTGAGAAATAGCAGGACTGGGAAGGGGTTGTCCATGCCATGTCCCTTGCTCCACAGGGCTCCATTCTGAATGATGCTGTCACCACTATGTGCTGCCCCTGGTGCTCACTCTGCCAGCTGAAGAGAGACATCAACATTAGGAAGAGCCAGAACAGATTCTGGTAAGTCAGAGGTGCTGATTTACACATCACTGCTGCACAGAGCTCAGGGACAGGCACCACAGCCCCCACAGCACTCAGGCTGCTCCCTGGGCACCGACAACCAGTACCTCCATCCACAGTGGGGTTTTCTGAGCAGCACCTGGACACTGAGCTGGAATCCACCAGCAGAACCCACCAGGCTCTGCTGCTTCCTGCCCTTGTGACTCAGCACCTTTCCTGCAGCATGACTCCAAGGCTCCTATGCCCCAGCTGGCAGTGAGAGCTCCAGCACTCAGTTCAGCCCTCATGGTGTGGGTGGCTGCAGGGCTGTTTGGCTGCTGCTTTGGGCACCCATACAGCATCACCTGAGACCCCTGTGTCCCTCAATGCTTCTCAGATGAGGTGACCACAAGTGCACTCATATCCCAGATAGTCCCTTTCTACCCACACCTGACTTCAGACAGGGCTGCTGCAGTGGCCAAGGCCAGGTGAAAGGGTGACCCTGCTCTCCTGTCCCATTGCAGATGTTGCCATCCTCGCTGCAGGCAGGAGCTGCTGCTGCCCTGGCTATTGGGAAATGCACCACAGAGGGATTGCCTTGGTTGTGGGCAATTCTCCCTTCCCCGTGTAACACCAGCAATAAAAGCACTGTCTGCCTTCCTGCCTGTGTGGTGGTGTTATTTCTCCCTCTGTTCTGCTCTGGTGAGACCCACCTGGAATACTGCACACAGTTCTGGTGTCCTCAACATGAGAAGGACATGGAAACATTAGAGCAAGTCCAGTGCAAGGCCACCAAGTTGCTAAGAGCACTGGAGCATCTCCCCTGTGAGGACAGGCTGAGGGAGTTGGGGCTGTTGAGCCTGGAGAAGAGAAGGTTGTGTGGAGACCTCAGAGCACCTTCCAGGAGCTGAAGGGGCTCCAGGGAAGCTGCAGAGGGATCTGTGTTAGGAGCTGCAGGGACAGGACAAGGGACAATGGGCACAAATTGAAGGAGGGAAGTTGAGGTTAGATGTTAGGCAGTCGTTTTCCCTGTGAGGGTGGTGAGACCCTGTCCCAGGTTGCCCAGGGAGGCTGTGGCTGCCCCAGCCCTGGCAGTGTTCACAGCCAGGTTGGCTGAGCCTTGAGCAACCTGCTCTAGTGGGAGGTGTCCCTGCCCAGGGCAGGGCTTGGGGCTGGATCATCTCTAAGCTCCATTCCAACCCCTAAGATTCTATGAAACTTCACCTGTCAGTCTTGATTACTTAGTACAGGGGGAGAGGCTGTTTTGGACAGGGGAGTTGCAGACAGGCCTGGGTACAGGCAGGAGGTGCCCCCAGGTGGGAAGCAGCAGAACTCCTGTCCTGGGGCATAGCACTGCCCCACAGGGACATGAGGTGATAGAGCAAGGCATGACCCCAAGCAGCAGATCGGATGCTCTCTTCGTTCAGTGTGTGAATGTGCTGGATGGTGGTGAAAGCACAGCTGGTGCAAACCCCTCCTGAAACAGTTTTCCTACTTTTCCAGCATGATTCTCTATACTTGCAAGAAAGCACTTTTGCCATTCCTTCATTTTTGCTTCACCTGGACCAGGGCAGCGGTGGTGTTGCCTACATGAAGCACAGGAAAGTAAACCAGACCACCTATTTTCACATCCCCTGCTGTTAGTAATGGACAAACTCGATCCTGCTCCTTTCCTTCTGCTGGGTCTGGCAGCTCTGTGTTTGAGGAATCCTCCGCGCGGAGCAGGGAGAGCAGAGTCTCACTCACTAGAGGGCATCAGAGAAGAGGAATGCGAGAGTTCCTCTCCTCTGCCTCACAGTCCGGCACGGGAAGGAGAAAGAGTTCTGCAGCAATGTCCTCCTGCTGCTGCAGATGTTTCCCAAGGCAATGCCCCCCAGGACAAGACAGTTATGCTCAGGCACAAGATCACAGCAGTTTAACAGTGAGAAGGACAGAGTCTCACTCACTAGAGGGCATCAGAGAAGAGGAATGCGAGAGTTCCTCTCCTCTGCCTCACAGTCCGGCACGGGAAGGAGAAAGAGTTCTGCAGCAATGTCCTCCTGCTGCTGCAGATGTTTCCCAAGGCAATGCCCCCCAGGACAAGACAGTTATGCTCAGGCACAAGATCACAGCAGTTTAACAGTGAGAAGGAAACGTGCTGGTTTGGGCTGAAGTGGATTTTCTTCCCAGCCCAGTGGCTAGTGTGGGGCTGTGTTTGGGGTTTGTGCTGAGCTCAGGGTTGATAATGCAGAGAGCTTACACAGAGTCAAGGCCTTTACTGCGTTTCCTACTGCCACACTGGCTAGGATGCTGGGGATGCATGGGAGAGTGGGAGGAGACACAGCTGGGACAGGTGACCCCAACTGACCAAAGGGATATTCCATACCATAGGACATCATGCTCAGGATATAAGGTGGGAGGAAGGAGGAGGAAGGTGGGATGGGACATTTGGAGTGATGGTGTTTGTCTTCCCAGCTAAGCATCCCGTGTGATGTGTCCCTGCTCTCCTGGAGGTGCTGAACACCTCCTGTCTGTGGGAAGCAGATAATTAGTTCCTTGTTTTGCTGTGCTTGTATGTGTGGCTTTTCCTTTCTTTATTCAATTGTCTTTTTCTCAACCCAGGATTTTTCTAGCTTATATCCTTTCAATTCTTTTCCCCATCCCACTGCTGGGGGAGTGAGCAATTGGCTGCCTGGGGTTAAACCATGACGTATGTCAGTCCCTGGTAGGTATTGGCACAGCAATGAATGGATGGAAAAACTCTGAGAGTGTCTATTGAGTTGTCTTTGCCCTTCTGCATGTTTGTGCTCAGGACATTTCACAGTGGGGGCAGTGCTTGCCACCGTGGTGCTTCAACTCCCTCCTGGGACTGGATGTCTCAAAGAAATGAGACAGCTGGGAGGACCAAATCCTGGGCTGCATCCAAAGGGATGTGGCAGCAAGTCAAAGGAGGTGCAGGAACCTGCACAGAACCTGCTGGGAAACCTGCCACTCAGGAAAAAGGTGTGAAGTTAAGGTCCTGGTGATTTAATGTACTTTTCTGGGGCATGACTGCAACTATTTGATGTGGGAATGTTAAGCCTTAGAGGGGAAAGGCTCATTATATAATTTTCAGGGCTAATGGGACAGACTAAAGGACTCTTGAGAGATTTGCATCTGACATCAAGCTCATCAGGAATCCTCCTGAGCTGCAAATCAGGCTGGCACGGTACTCCACAAGCTCAGGAGAATTCCTGGTGAGCATCACATTGAGCAACATTATATCCAACCTCCATAGCCTTTCCTTGAGCTTCATCACTTCAAGCCTTTCAGTGGCAATTACTCATGCAAGATGTGTTATCTTCTCCTGGTTCTAATCGATTTTTATTAGGTCTTTAAACATTTCCAGTGCTGGGGTGAAAGTGCAGAGGGTTGTTCACCTCTAAACAAAGAAGGGGCACACCCAGGGACCTCCCTATGGCTGGTGTGGCAGCTGCACAGCTTTCAGCTCCTGGCTTGGTTCATGGACAGCTGGTGGTGACCTTCTGCTAGATTTAATGTTTAAACAGCACCTGGAAGCACAAGGAAGCTGCTTGGAGGCATTGTCTGGTAAGGAGATGGACACTGGGAGCAGGGTAACATCTCAAGGTTTATGTGTTGTGAGCTGACCAAAGACCAGCTGTGTGATAGAGGTGTGCCACACATCTGACCAGGCACAAAGCACAAGTGTGAAAGGTTGAACTTCGTGTTTAATCAGTTACTGTCATTAAGTAGTTGTGTGCTGCACCACAGGTTTGGCCAAAGATAAATGAGAGGAATTTTATGAACACTTGGCTTGCATTCTTATCTGACAAATAAGCCCCTGAGGCAGGAATGGCCTTGGAGACAGTGAGACAGGAGATAATTTATTAGGGTAGAGTTTTTGACTGAGTTTTGCAGTCAATTCTGAGGGCACAGGTTCCCAGCCCTGCAGCAGTACATGAACCCTGGGTTCACCTGACCCCCTTGGAGCTCTGCAGCAGCAAAGCCAAAGTCTGCACTCTTTCTCATGAAACCTGGAGTCTTATCACTGATGAATCATGTTCCTACATTGTACTTGTGTTATTACTGATTCAAATGTAACTAGCTCTGTCCTGTCTTTATACAAGACCATTAAACATCTCAGCAACTAGCAGAACTGAAAACACCCAGTCCCTTCAGCCTCACTAGTGTTTCTGAGTGAGAAAAACTTCCCAGTGACATGAACTAACTCCCAGCCACCTCCCAAAGCTTCAGAAGGACAGGCTGAATTCCTTTTGTTTGTTATGTCAAGCTCTAATGCAAGCAGAACCTGAGGCTTTTCTCCACACAGATACTCCATGGCTGAAGACAGGAAAAACTGGGAATTGACTCACCCAGAAATGACCTCAAGGATACCTGTGCCCACAAATAAAAAACCCAATCTAAACCATGTTGGGATTTAACAGTAGAGCAATTATCTGTGCAAACAAACCAACTAGAGCCTGCTGAGGTTTGTGGCCAGTCTGATCTGCTCTCTGAAGGAGAGAAGTATTTCTGCATCGATTGGGTCACGTGTGTACCTTATCAAAGGCCTACAGCCTTTGGTCTTCACTAGCTGCTGGCACACTCTGAAGTCTTGGATAAATACAGTGCACAGTTAATGATTACAGAGGGATTGATAAAGGAAAGAACAAGATGCCAGGAGCATGATTCCTGAGTGGTGATGCCCTTACCCATCCCAGGATACAGCCCGCGGACAGAGCTGGCCTTATGGTGGTCTGTCCTGGAGAGCTCCTACAGGCAGCCTTGGTGCTTGCTAAT